GGACTAGAAGATCCTCAGAGGTCCCTGCCAACCCCTGCTGTTCTGTGATTTCAGAGTAGACGAGACTAGGCTAGGCTACTGCAATACCTTCTTTTTTCCTTCCTCTGTGGTAGAAAAGCCACTGGGATAGAGTAGCTTTGTTTTATATTGATACGATGCTGTAATTTTATCCAGGTTCTTAGCAAGCACCAAACATCTTTCCTCAGGGTTGAAGGTGAGGAGCAAACACGAGTTAGTTTGAGCTGCTCTCAGAAGGCACTGCTGGAGGTGGTGGCATTACTGTCCCAGGACAGCCGCCTTTATCGCAGGACCGAGATCCTCTTACTACAAAAGGTAACAAGATCATGTATTATTTCAGTGAACGTCTTACTTTCAGTGTTCAGAGCCCAGTGCTCTAAACACTGAAATCCAACAGTCAGCAGCATCACAGGTTTCCTCTGCTACCCTGTCAGTGCTCTGAAATACTGGCCTCTGGGGGTTTGAATCCACTCACATTCTCCAAAACAATGAAAATAACTGTGTGGCCTGTACTAATTCTTAAATCAGTGTGAGTAGCTAGTGTAGTTAGTATGTTACATTTGAGAATATCACATGTGTTTTTTCTTAAAGTTCAGAGCATTTCTGAGTGCCCAATATACCCATCTTTGTCCAGTATGGAAAGCAGTGCCAACTTCTGGAGTCAACCTTCTCACAGTAATTTTGATTTCTTTGCAGCCTCCTCTTCCCCATACAGGCATGGGCCGTCTGTGCACACTGAGTGAGCCAGTCTCCTTATCAGACATAATCGAGCGTATCAAAAGCCACCTAAAGCTACCCCACATCCGCTTAGCCCTGGGAATGGGCAAGACTCTAGGTAAACAGCCCTGCAAGTAAGCTGTCCATTAAAACCAGCAATTCCAGGAAGACAAGGAGCGTGAGTGTGTGCAGTACTGCTGCCTTCAGTAGCTTCACTTCCAAGTAGTATGAAGCACTGTTAAAAACCAGCATTTTAGAATTTGCATGATACAATCATGGAAAAAGAACCTCATCTATATTTTTAATTTGAAGTTCTATATTATGCTAATTGCTACTGAGGAAGAGGCAGCACGAGTTGAATATGAGACATCCTTTTTCACAGTTTGTATGACTAAGATTTCTTTTCCCCAGGATATCAGAGACAAATGTGTACCATTTCACTGTACACTCCCTTTTGTAACTGAATGCTAAATTTCACAGTACCTTAACTTAGTAAGATGCTTTGTGATATCTTTATAAACATGTAACCATCCATGTTTTGATGAAAGAGAAATTAGTGGCAAAGGTGGTGAACTATCCTAGCTCAAACAGGGGGTGACTAGTAAAACATGGAGCAAACATCCTCTTATCCCAGTTATCTATCCTAGTCTCCACGGAGCACAGCTAGTGGAACCTGTGAGATGTATTTTGATACACAGAGGGGTTTGCTGTATTATCAGAGATGTTATAGACCCATGACTCATTCAAACCGACACTTCCTCCAACAAATTTACATTGACTCTATAATCAAGGTAGTATTTATTGTGAAACAATAGCAATACTGACATGAAGGCTGAACAGAGTGAAAGAGTTTAACTGTGGCACCTTGCATCCTGCAGAATCGCCCGTGAAGAAAGCTGCTCTGTGTGCTGGTTCTGGGGGCAGCGTCCTGAAGGGAACAGAAGCTGACCTCTATCTCACAGGTAAAAGATTATGTTGCTGTTTCATTATCTTTATAAAAATAGTCACTAGGGAAAAAAAAAAAAAAAAAAAGAGTTGACTGGCTGTGTTAAAGATTTGGCCAGAAAGAATTACCTGTCATAATTGAGAAAAAAAACCCAGTTAGTTATTGGAATGATAGTTAGCATTAAAGTAGGAATAATGTGGATCAGATGGCTGTGTGGCACTGTGAAGGTAATTTGAATTAAAACATTGCTACATGTGCATCATTTCAACACAAAGTCCATGTTGATGGCAGTCTGTTGCAGGCTTCACTGTGTTTCTCCTTTGGCAAGACATAAGGTATTTCCTCAGTCCAGAATTTCCTAATGGAAAATGGAATATAATGTAGTCTATAGAAAGGATTTCCAAAGGAAACTTTTTTGGTCAAAACCAAAGGATTTTTTGACCAAAGGGACACTTGGTCTGTTATCCTTTTCTGGCAGTGGGACAGCTATTCCTCAAAGCTTGCTCAGCAATGTGAAGGCTGCCCTGCATTCTGTAGTAGTTGAGCGAGATCTTTGACAAGACATATCCCTTATGTTACAGCTCCACAGAGCTGACCCTCAGACCTCTTCTTCACAGGGCTTCCCAATTGCTGTCCTCCATCACAGCAACCCCTATCACATCCAGACAGTCCACCTCCAGACCCCTGCGCTCTCGTTTCCTGCCCCAGGTGGCAGAATCTTCAGAGAGGGCAAGAAGTTTCTGTGGTTTTGTCTCAGCTGTACATGGGGGACATCAACTGGAGGCCCTCTGAGGGACACTAGAGTAGGAGTGTTCCACGTTCTTAGACTGAGCAGATGGTGTGGCACTGCCCCTGAGGGGCTATACCCCGTTAGCCTTCCCAGCTTCTAGCCAAGACTCTGCACACATCACAAAGATCTGGCTACCTAGACTGTACTGTTAGTGATCTGCATGGCATTTCTTTCTCAAAACGGCAGGAGAGATGTCCCACCACGATGTTCTGGATGCAGTTGCCAATGGGATAAGTGTCATTCTGTGTGAGCACAGTAACACGGAGCGAGGCTTCTTGTCAGAGCTGCGTGACATGCTGGCTGTCCACCTGCAGAACAAGATCAACATCACTGTGTCTGAGAGGGACAGAGACCCCCTCCAGGTGGTGTAGGGAGGAGAAACAGGAGAGGATTCAGTCGGCAGCTGCGTGGCGTCTCGCAGACCTACCCCACTGCAAGCTTCATGGAGGTGCCCTGAACTGGGTCAGTACAGAATGGTTGTATTGTATGTTCCCTCAAAGTTTAGGAGGTATTTTGTCATCTGTCAGATAAATAAATGCTTTTTTTGGGCTACAGAAAGCTGATTTTCTGAATTACTGGGCTGCATCTGAATTAAATCTACTCTTATTAGATACATTTGATAGCCATGACACTTGAGGATTGGTTTGGGGGAAAAAAAAGCAGCTTTGGAAAGCTAAAACTCAATTCCTTAAAAAAACCTGTAAATTAATGTACATGTTTTTATTTTCTTTTAAAAAGTTTCTACAACTATGGCTTTTAATTACAGGACTACTAAAACTGAAGAAGTAGCATTTTCACCACTGATAATGCTTGTGTTTTTTCTTTAAGTTAGGCTTTTTTCTTAAAAAAGAAAAAACAAATCTCCCAGTTTCATACCTTACCACTGGATTATGTGCACACCAGAAGAATGCTTAAAATGAATATTTCCATTGCAAGTTTCTAACAATCTTGGCTCCGTCCATTTAAGTTAATAAAAGTGTCATCAAGCAATGTCTTTAAAGCATAACTGCATGTGTCTTACTCCTCTTCAATGTAAGTGGAAAGAGATGACTCCAGTATTATCTGAAGCTATTGATGCCATATAAAGGCCATAATTCTCATCAATACCATGAAGACCTCTCACTAAGCTGAGAAGCAGGTAGTGAGAAGAAATTTCTTTCCCAAGTAAAGGAAAGCTCTACAGAAAGTATCCCCTCCAAATTCAACAGCTCTGTGTTGCTAAGAGACATTAAAATGCCTTAGTACATACACAGAATTCAAGAGATAGAAAATTAATGCATAGATGGGTAATCATCCAGAAACAGCAAGAAATCAGGATAAAGTACTTTTAAGGCAAAAACCACAGGGATTAATTCACAGTAATTTTCTTTAGCTTGCATGCTTACATCACAGAATCATCATCAGCAAAATATTGATTCAGGCTTAACCTTCTCTTAGCAGACGTGTGGTATCTCCTGCAGCCCTCCTCTTGGCATACATGGGCGTCTGGTAGTCTACTGAAACTGTCAGCAGGTAACTCTGACCTCAGAATGATTACAGCACTTATTAAAGCAAATTTCACATCTAGAAAACCAGACACGATGGCACTGAAAATGCACCACGGTATCACCATCTGTAGACATATTAGGTGGTATCTTCCACATGCTCTCAGAGTATAAGTTAAATCTTGAGTTTCACAGGAACTCTGGAGGGAGTCAAAGGAATGCAATAAAAGGATGTAGCTGCTGCTTCTCTACAATACTTGTGAAGTTTTTCCAAGAACTCATCTCTTCCAAGTTGCACAGTTCTTATTCTTGAATGCCACTCCTAACTTACAGAACTTGGGCTAGACAGAATGCCTTGATCCCAGTGTTAGAGATTCTGACAGCAGCCTCAGTCGCCACAGGCAGGATCTGATGTACTTTGCAAGGTTTTGGAATTGCAGCCTGTAAAATGCAGATGCAAGTGCCACCAAAAGTGAGTGTTAGTTGGAAAATACTCTAGAGGAGGAAGCTAGAGAGTACTACTGACTTGTACCAGTTTTCTCCATCAGACTCTCCAGGAAAGCAAATTAGGTCCTCTATTTGAAGAATCAAATTGTCAGTAGGATAAGCAGGTACCCCTGTTTTCAGTACAAAAGTCAAGCTGTAAACCTGTCTGTTGCTTCAGTCAGTGGGGCAGGGCAGGTAACAATATTCCACATTATGTTTTGGTTCTCTTCAAAAGCTATATATGAATATTAAAGGCAGGCAAACTATTTTTAATTCTGATACCTTACAAGATACAATGTAAAATATTTTTACTAATTAGTTTGTAATCTTTTGCACACTGCATGAGGATCTGCACAGGTATTTGACATAATGAAAACTAGGCTTTCACACAACTGCCAGAAGGATCTCTATCTGCCTATAACATAAAAAGATTGTGGAAGACAAGACAAGCTAATAAAAATTAATAAAGTACTTTATTTGATTACTTTAAACTATTACAACATTGAGCTGTAACACAGCTACCAAATATTAGACGTAGAGTCCCTCAAGTCTGGCTAGCAGACGACAGCTGATGGAACTATACAGAGTTTACTCCCACATACCTGAGAAAAAAGTGAAGAAAAGCTGCCAAACATCAGCAGTCTTCCAACCTCTAAGGGCTTATAAAAGAGGAGAGCTTATAAGTGGCATTTAAGGCCTCCACCAGGATGAGTGGACACTCCTAATGTAAAAAATACATATATACAATCAAGCTTTTAAAATATAACAAAAAAAATCATGGCCTCTTCATATTCTTGGATTGCAACTTGGAAAGTCGATGAAAGAAGCTGCATCCTCTCACCCTCACCAAAAGGCAATAACTTGAGTTCATAACAAAATTTTATTACACAAATCTTCCTATAAAATGATTTGGGTTTGGAGCAAGTCCTTCAGTTCTGTTGCCAGAACTTAGTAATTACCCACAGCATCCCAAACCCACTAGTATTCCCCTTTCCTTATGCAGTTCAAGGCAGGTCTCTTACCATTGAAAATTTTGGCTTCATACACTGGAAGCAAGTCTTGTCTAACTGGTAAAGGAGTGCAGGAAAGCACTCAGTGCAGAAAAGTTGCACCACTAATACAAACTAAAGCTCTGACCATCTAATGACTTGCACTTCCCAAGTAAACTGCTCCCAAACCCTCATGTCTGGTGAAGTAGAGAGCAGAAGGCACAGTCTTACTGAGTTTTGTTTCTGTCTGTAAGGCTGGCTGCATAGATACGAAGAAGGCATCATCTGAGCTAAGAGACAAAGCAAACAAATCTAACTACAGAGCACGAGATGCCTTGCTTACAGAAGTCAGCATTCCAATCTACCTGAAGTAATAGAACAACAAGTATTCATTACTATTATTACACTTCAGTAGGTAGTCCAGCAGCCTTGGGGTTGGAGGGAAAGACATCCAGGTACAGGCCCCTCTCCAGCAGCCCTTGGGAGCAATTGCTGTAGAAACTTGGAAAACAGAGACATCATACATCTTCATCTTCTTTCTCTAAGAAGTCAGTCAAGGTGCTGTCATCTACAGGAATTAATAAGTATTCCACACCATCAGCTCCCTGAGAACAGACATGCATACACATCCTGTTAACACCAGTGCACAGTGCAACACAAGCCACTACGCAGCACTGATAGGCTCACATTTATTTATAGAGTCTGGGCAGGAGCTGGCCAGCACTCAGGACTACACTGCTAAAACCCAGCAATATCTCAACTAGTGCAACACTGGAAACAAACACTGAGAAAAATCATTACACAAGAAATATTCTGGTGAGCTATGCCTGTCTGACATGCACAGCTCCTCAACACTGTGTTTCTATATCTAGAACTGCTATGCTGCCTCGTTATTAGGAGCAGCCCACGTTCCTCCCTCGAGCAAAAGCAGATAGCTACTGGAAGCACACTGGCAGGCTCCAGCGTCTGTTACTTCTCAAGGTCTTCAAGGAAGAAGAGATCTGCAGGTTGCTGAGTAACCAAGGCACTCCACATTTTTACAGCCTCCTATCCGCATAAAGCAGATTGACAAATAGGAGGCATGGAGAGAGCTGCAATTACAGGGTTTCAGCCCTTGGCAAGTTCCTAGGTGTTTACAGTACAGCCTCACTGTAACCTGCAGAGTGGTATCCTAGGGACACAATAGCAAGCAGGCATCTGTTTTGTTTAGAGTGGCTGAATACTCAGAATTATCTTCCTCCCCCAGCTCACCCGCTTGGTCCGGATGAGCTTGTGGTCCCTGAACTCTGTGAGCTGTGCCCTGAGGGTCAGGTCACTGTTCACAAGGAAAGCCTCCCGACACTGCTGGTAGAAGTCTTGGAAAGACAGCCCTGGAGATAAAAAAAGGCGAGAACAAGAAAGTGAAGTGGCAACATTGTCAGATTTTTCCAGGTCTAGCACCACATATCATCTCCACCTACAAATCTTGCTTTGGCTTAGACCACAGTGGCTACAGGAACATAATCACTTCTTTCAAGTATACAGCCAAGCTAATATTTCAGTAATGAATGGAAACCAGATGAATTAACGTTCCAGTCACCCTGCTCGCCTAATGCAATTTTAATGGCACTTTAAATGCACTTCCCAACATGGTTAATCTCCCTTAATTTCCAATTCCTCTATCTTACTTCAGCATGTTATACATACACCCTGCAGCCCCTGTTAGTGACAGATTATTCCACGTGTATCCTGGAAAGCAGGGACACATCAGAAATCACTTAGATAAGAGCAGTATAGAAATAGGACCTCTTGTCTTTCCGTGGTCTTTTAACTGCTAGCTATGCAAATTCATATTCTTCCTCTGTTTTAAATTTTATATTCCACAGTCCTCCATAAATGGTTTCAGTCATGTCTAAACATCAAAGCAGACAACAGTAAAAGGAGGTCCTTCAGAACCAGCCAGTCTACTAATTTCCTGTCAGAGTCAGACAGTACCACTAGAAAGACAGTCTTAGGCCACCAAGTCTCACTGAGTCAACAGTTACAGCACTTTTTTTGCTGGTGATGTAACCTGCATAACAAAAGGCAGTGCCTTTGGGACCGAGTTGGCAATGGCAACACCCCAAGCAGATGAGAAAAGGTGGGTACATACCTGAATAAGACGGGTTGTCCTTGTTCTCTAGTTGGTATTGAGCAAGCAGCCTGAATATTCCTCTAAGGGAGGAAAGGAGGAGAGTGGAAAAATCAAAAGGAAAAATAAAACACAAATATAAACAAAAAGAAAACCCAAAAAACCCCCACCATTAGTAAACATTAACTGATTTTTCCCTCATGAGCAAGACCTTGTGTGTGAATCTCGACACTGGACAAGGCTTGCTATCCCAACACTGTTCATTTAAAGTCAGCAATCAAGGTCCTGCCATCTTCATCTGAACACTGCTGTCAGAGAACAGGGACTGCCAGGGTAACCTAGTAAGGAGTGGATCCTCAGCAAGTGCTACTGTGAAGTGTAAGTGTCCTACCTGGCATTGAGAGTGAGGCTGCGCAGGACATGCGTGAGGGAGCTCAGAGCCAAAGACCCAGACTGCTGCACCAAAAAGGAGTTCTCGTACGACGTTTCCTCCACGTAAGGACTGAACGTGGTTGTTTCATACCAGAGCCAGCTGTAAAGGCTTAGCTTTGCCTGATCCCACACTACACAGAGAGGAAAAAAAGCAGACAGAATTGGGAGATTAAGCTTTTCTTTGGTGTTAAATAAGAAATATTAAAGTGTACACCTAGTTCTACTGGAGGATTTGAGGAAACAATGTATGCTTGTGAAATTCACAGCACATACGGCCAGAAACTTCCAGTACAAACAAGAAAAATTCTATGCAAGAAACCATTTGCACACATCCCTTTTTCATACCAGCTTCAGAGTTATACTGTACGTCCTTCCAGAGTCAGCAGTGTACAAAGAATTTCTGGCTGACAGACAAAATTGTTTAGATGCAACGACAGACATAACATCCAATCTCTATTTCACTAAGTCCCCAAACAAAAGGGTACCAGAAGCTTATTTGTATATTGTGATCAGTGACTGGTAGTTCTCAGTATATTTATACAGTTTTGGTTCAACACAGACACAGTCCAAACTGGGGCTTCTAGCTGCTACCACCATACATATATCACCAGATCTATTTTGCACGTCAGGAGTAATACATGAGCTTATGAAACATTTTCAGCAGCCTCAAAGTAGAATACAGATTTTTCTCTCTTTGCTACAAAAGGCCCAAGGGGACTCACTGAGAGGAGCATTGATGTGATCAATAGAAGCAATGAGGTAAATTTTGGGCAGAGAAGATAACTGTGCAAGGATCTGCTGACTTCTTTCTCCCCTCAACATCTGGCTGTCCAGGTTATGAATGAGGATGTAGAGCTCTAAAGATGAATCTGCAAGCAGAAAAAACAGCAGAGAACTAATCAAAGAAACTGCACACAAAGTGGTTTCCCACTCCCAGTGCAGCCTAGGACAAGTCTATTACATCAGGCTCCATACTCATTACTCCAATATCAAAGTAAACTGTACAAGGAAAGGGATTTGATCTCTATCCCAACACTTGGTGGTTTTGAGCACCTAAAAGGCTTTTTCTCAATTCACTGTATAGCAGTTCTCATCACAGCTACAGTTCTTTTTGCAGTTTGGACTTTTCTCTCATAATCCACTTTCCACTTATTGCCTTTTTAGCTCTGACTTTTAGATCTGCAATCAGGGCACTCAAATGTATTTCAGGATGGAAGTCCAAGAACAGTTTATTCAGCTGCTTTTGACTGGGATTTTTTTTGTTACATGACTAGGATCTTTAAGCTCTTCCTCCTCACAAAATGAAAATGCATTTTCTATTCAGAGTTGGACCCAAAGCATGCTAATTTCATTGGAAATCATTTCCACTGAGTCCTCAAAGGACAGTGCAAAGACTAGCTTAGATAATGAAAATGGTAGATGTTAAGATTCCCAGCTAGCTTGCTGCTGCTGTACTTATCCCTGGAAACAGCTACATCCTCAGTCCAGACACAGTTCTGGAACAGTAGCCAGTTTTTGTGCAAATTAATACATACTTGGCTGTCAATGGAAACCAAGGGTTCCTCAGACTCCCAGTCAGGTCAGCTATAGTGTACTACACAAGACTGATTTGTGCAGATTCAGGTGAGTGCTGCTGTTAGTAGGTATTTTTCACTTAGTCCCACCAGAATACTCATAAGGTAATGATGGAAAACAGTGTAAACACTTAAACACCAATGTCATGCACAATTAAAATTCCATGGCGATTTGTCTATGTATACACAAGCAGTAAAATGGACATTCAAAAAGTATTCAGCAAGTGTTGTGTGACAGTATCTGGTTTATTTTGCTTCTGAACCCAACTCTAACCTGCTTGCTTGACACTGCTGTACTCTATTTCATCCTGATGTCAGTAGTTGCATATATTAAAATTAAATGACCATGCCACTAAACCATGCACATTTAAGCCTTAATCCAGCCTATACTGAAACTTATGGAAAGACCCTAAGGCCTTGATTTTCTAGAGGACTTCAAAGGACTTGATATCAAGTTTAGTGGCATGGTCACTTCAAGAGGAAGACATGAGTGTTCCGAGAAGTCAGAGACTCCTCAGACCAAACTGAAAGCTCATCTCTCTTGCATTTATCACAGTGCCTCTGTGTTTTATTTACACAGTGTTTCTCTGTTTCCTGGTGGAAGATGGGATAGGTACACTCCATCTACATGAAGGAAGCAACTGTCAAGCAACTGTCATTCCAAATTGTTTGCAAGTCCTTCATTCTGTTGATTTCAGTTAGGTTTATATCAAGCCCTCAAGCAGCCACTAAGAATCATCTTCCCTCGTTCTTGTCCTTAGACCACTCATTTTTTTTCCCTTTCTAAAGGAATTACTGTATGGAACACTGACTGAGGTAATGGCTTGGCATCACGAACACACACATTCCTGGTGCATATATATTTTCATATATGTGGCATAAATTACATGGAAGAAAAGTATACTAGCTATAATAAACTAAGAAACTAACTGCAGATAAGAAAACTATGAGGAAAGAAAATGTCCATGCTCTCCTAACACTAAATGGAGTCTAAAGTTTTTATGTATAAAATCAGTCATTTTACCTTCTTTAAAGCTTTTAATGATGAATTCAAGTTGGTCAAGTGGGCTGCGGAAGGTCCCTATATGGTTCAGTACCTCCTCTGTGATGGAGTTGAGAATCTGAAAAAGAAAAACAGCAGTCCCTTCTGAAGGGCTCTGACACTGAAGGACCCAGAGCAGAAAATGTGGTACTTGGACCTTGATTGTCGTAAGGGAGGTAATCTGATTTTTACCATCAAACCCCTAAAAGAGTCAACATAAAAAAAATGTACCCTTTTTCAAAAGAGTGACATAAAATAAGGCTTTAGACTCATGAGCAACTACTAATGATGGGAATTACTGCAATTCCTTGGGAAACACCTGGACTAAATTTCTTTAACCTCAGAGAGGAACTGCTTCAAGAGTCTGCTGCTACAGGATGCAGCAGGTTTCCTTAACATTTTACACTGACAGACTTTAGAGGTATCTGTAACACAGGACAATTAGATAAACCCATAAGCTTCTGCCACACTCACAGATCTCACGGTGATGCTGGGGAAGTATCCGTTAACCACCAGGTGAACAGAATCCTGGAGCACAGAGGTACGAAACTTCTCTAACAAGTCACGCTTTGAGCCCAGTCCATAAAGCACAATATTGAAGCCCAAGCTGCAGAAAAGCAAATACACTGATTCAAAAAGTGCAACTCCCTTTTTAGGTTCATATATTCTTTAAACAAAATATTCCGCTGCAATCTTGCCTCTAAAAGTGCCCTACTTCATCAATGCCAGGTTTACCTTCAGCTCACACCTCAAATGAGGTTAGCTGCCAGCAATCTGAAACGTGGCACATGCATTCTGCTACAAGAAGTGTGTTAGCCTGGAGGCCCACAAATTTAGCAAAGCATCTATGGAAGCAAAAGGTATTGTCCAAGGATGAGACTAGATTTGCAACTTCAGATAGTGACGAGTAACCAGCACTTACATTCACCCCTTCACCAGTGATTGTATTAAATGTGTACCATGGGTCACAGTAATAACAAGGAATAAAAACAAGCAGTCATAGTGGTTTTCTATTCTTAGATCTCTTTCTCATCCTAAGTGTTCCACAGAGAAAGAGGCAGGAAAGCATAGAGAGAACATGATAGAGAATCACAAAGCTTTATTAATTTTTGAAAAGCAGAAAAAGTATCATCTTGACAAGAATATCAGGTCATTCAAATAGCACTCGGCAGAGGTAAGGTGCTAAACAACTGTCATTGGCTTCAGTATCTTCCATGGATTTGTTCCTTCTATGCTGCCACATACATCTCTAACCATTTGCCCAGATCACAGAGTCACAGAGAACTCCTCTTGCACCTCTCCAGCTTTCAAAGCTTAATGTCTTTTTCATATGCCCTGCACTCCTCATAGACCACAAATTCCTTTATACTCCACTCCTTTGCAAAGCTTCCATGGGGCTTTCTCCTGACCAGTATCTGCTCCTGCCTCAGCACTTAACTTCAGAGCTGGTGGTCTCCCTTCTCTAACACACTTCAGAATCTCACAGCTCTCTATAGGTCCCCAATTTGCTTTCCTGGATACTTACTCTTTGCTCCTTCCCATGAAGATACACACAAACCCAGATAAAATTTATACTGCTGAAGTTTCCAACAGCACTAAGGTTTCTTCATGCCTAGGTCATTAGGAAACACAGACATTCAAGGTTAACTGCCACACCACTGAGGATAGGCACATACTGAAGACACTGGTGGTGGGCTAGTCACTACCAACTATGTTGCTGTAAGCAAAACTGCTCACAAGGGACACTCTTCCCCTCACTCATGTTCCCTGTTTGTGAATGCCCTCTAGCTCAGTTTACAGAGGCACAGAAAAACTAACCAGGCAGAACACAACCTCATTTCACTTCAGGCACTCAGTTCAAGGAGTTAGTCAGGTATGATTTAGTCTACAGGAAACATTGTGTCAAATTAGTGTCACCTAATTTTAAATTTAAGCAATCAATCAAAGAAATAAAAGTCTCTCCATAACTCATCCACACGATGTTGTTGACAAGAGGGTAAGTTTACTGGCAGTGCCTGCTCACTGGGCTTCTTCAGTGATTCTCAATGGATACTTACTGCAACTGCAGCACCCACTTGGAAAACAGGGATTCATGTTGCTGGCTTAGCTCTTGTATTTCAGCAGCATATGGAAAGGGAGCTTTCTTCAAAAGGTCATGCAGTGTTTGCTGTGTTGAGAAAGAGATAAGACGACAGTCATTCCAAGCTGAGGAAAAAAACAGGACATGTATCTGGAATCCTCACAAATGCCCCTCTAGCAGGCCCTCTAGCTAGGGAGTAGAATATTTTTCACTGATGGTGTACTCAGTTGTGGTTTTCTCCATGAAGACCCCTCTAAGCACAAGTCTGCTACTGGAGAAACAAAGCAGAGATTAAGTAACCTTATTATGGGAAATGGCAGCCAGACTAGGACCAGAATTGATACCACACTGTGTTTGTCTCTTCCTGCTCACTATGGGAAATAATATGGGAATAATACAGGAATAGAAGTGAAATAAATATTTCACTACTGAAATAATGGATGCATTTAGAGTTTACACTGAACCAAGCCCTGTAACCAGGAAGACACCAGCATCACAACCCAGCTCACAGGAGCAAGGGCTCTAATCGACACACTTGGCAACAGCTCAGGCATCTGTCACTACAAGAAAATGCTCACAAACAATCTCAAAAAAGAAATATAGCACAAAGGAAATCATTTGCATCTGACAGCTAATTGTAGAAAAGGTATTATTTCAAAAGCATCAAGAATCAAAGGATTAATTCAGCTTTAAAGACAGGCTGTGATGTTGATGTTTAAACAGTGCAGTAGCATGACAAATGGAATCCAATCTACACTGGACTCCCTTCCTCTTCAATGTTAACAGCTTTGCTTTCCAGTCCCCTGCAGTAGAAGACAGCTTAGTCTGGAAAGAACATAAAGACAGCTGCAATGTATCAGACAAACACAAAGCATTGAAAGACAGGGCTGCTAAGCCTTCAATTTCCTTGGAGCCAGCAATAGATTTAATACTGAAAGACTTGATTTCATTCCAGAGCTGTTATGAAAGAACTTGTTAAAAATCCAGATGTTTTTCTGGGTAACAATTCCAGACAACAGCAGGCATCAGGCCATCTGGATATATCCCATCTTTGGTTTTTTGCACCCATCTGCATTTCAAGCTACAGACACCAGAGGCTCAAGTATTTCACATGCTTCCCTGGCACCTGCCCTTTTGTACCTGTCTCTGTAAGGGTTTAACTGCTTGGTTTGAACTGTGTTGCAGAATATGGGGAAAAAAAACCCCAGTAATTCAGTCACCATAATTAGAGTTCTCCTGTCTCCTAGGAACTGAAAGGGGACAAAGTGCATTTCACAGCTGTGTTGCAGAATATGGGGAAAAAAAAAAAACAGTAATTCAGTCACCACAATTAGACCGCTCCTGTCTCCTAGGACCTGAAAGGGGACAAAGTGCATTCACAAACTAGGTGACAACATTTAGAACTGTCCCAGTCCTGCATGTGGCTTGACCCAGTCATACTCAGATGAGAAGGGCTCCCTTCATTTCCTCTACACATAGTCAAGACAGCTTGTAACTGTCCTAAGCATTTCATAGCCAAAAATGGTTTTGGTGCCAATTTTTAAGGCATGTCTCTACAACTCTGCCTCTTCTTCTTCTTCTCCCCCAAAAGCAAACTTTAACCTGTTTTAGTAACTGCAGCTTTCAACTATCTGTCTCGGGTTCAAACAACTGGGCACTGTCCCTGCTCGGAACAGCAGTAGGAGACATAATGCTTAAAATGCTACCTAAGTCAGCCTTACCACAGAGAATGTAATCACCAGAAATGAAATAAAAATAGAACATCAGGCAATTTTGATGAGGGAAATTCAAAGGAATGGGAAGCTCTGAGAGGTGTATGATTCACTGTGAAGCGTACCTGATCCAATCTTTTTTTCCGCAACTTCTGCAGCGTTCGGTCTGAAGTGAGCACTTTGGAACTACTGTGAGCTTCAAAGTATTCCTCCACCACGTTGCTCTAAAAATCAGACAGCAAGATAAGCCACACTCCTCCTGCTATGCTATCAAATTAGCCCTCTCCCCTTGCACCCACAAACATGTCTGAAGATGGCAAATATGAGACAGAGCAAGGATGAATAGGAAGCCAGAAGGTATTCTCAAAAATAGCTCCTGGAGTAGCATTCTGCCAAAGGTAACCTAGTCAGGTCGTTCTTTCCTGGAGTCAAAAAAGAGATTCTGAGAGCAGAACATAGCAATAATTCTAAGGGGGTGTGGGGATCCCTGGTGCTGGAAGGAGATCAGACAACGAAGATGAACCCCAAGCCAGAAAATAATGTGTGCTTCTTTTGGTGCTTATAGGAGTAATTTTTTCATCTGTTCTCAGTACAATGTCTCTTGCTTCATGGACATCCTAGAACTTCTCCTTCTGGAGCTGCTGAGGATATAGACTGGCCCACAGGCTCACATGATGCCTGTCTAACAGGGGCTGCTCAGAACTACAGCAAAAACCAAGCCAGCTGGTTTGATTTGCAATGAACAGCAGTTCTTCCCCACAGCTGGGTGTGGTCACTGACAGCTTATTGTCACTAAACATCCTTTCACACTTGATAGCTCAGGGCTATATTTTCTGCACACTCACCATCTTCTCCTCCCGATTTTTTTTGGCTAGGGTGTTTCTGGGAGGAGGTATAGATGTACCCTTAGTTTTTGCTGGTGTCTTTCGACTGGATAAAACACTGCTGACTTCCTTCTGATCTTCATCCTCCTCCTCCTCCTCTGAGCAGGATGCAGAATATTCACTCTCACTTTCTAAATAGAGATCTGGAGCTGCAGCATAAATTAAAGGTTAAAAGCTAGCATACATAGTTCTTACATACATAAATACTGAACACATTTTGCTCTGTCTCACTCTCTAACATACATTCTCTACATGTTTTCCTAGATTCCTAAATATTCCCAAATATCATTCCTAAATCTATTTCACAGAAAAGCAAAATCAATGCTTACAGACTGCAAACACACAGCTATTTCTTCCCCAGTTCTAGGCTGACAAGTAATTATTTAGTAAAGCTTGCTCCTTGATACCAACTGAGAAACATAATCCTACCATAAAAACTGACTCAAAATGGACACTTGGAATTCCTTCTTTCTCATAGCATTTCTACATCAGTTTTCCCAAATGCCAATCATGCAACCTGAGTATCTTCTGGGTCACACTCTGCAAAAAAGGTTTCCTACAAGACCTCTGTTAGCAGTGTGGACTGAAGAGCACAAACAGGATCTGGCTCAGTCTTGTTCTCTCAATACAAAAGGAAGAAACAGAATATGAAACACCGCGCACTAAACCCTCTTCTGCATTCATTCTGAGCATATGTAGCCAACCAGTTAAAATAACTAACCAGTGGAAATATTCTACCATGACTGTCCCAGCCATCATCAAAAAATTTTATGATGTGGTGTAAGCAATTGCACCAGACTTAAGTGTCAGCACAGGTTAGATTACTGAGAGTTTGTCTCTTTTGATCATGTCACTGAAGTTCAGCAACTTGGTGCTTCTGACCCTTCCACCCTTCACCTAAGTAGCACTCTGCTGGAGGGAAAAGGTCTAAACACACTTCTTTAAGCACATTTCTACACTCTGCAGGATTAATCAGATTGCTTCAGTCAGACTG